CACCATCATCACCACCATAATCACCATCACCATCACCACCATCATCACCATCACCACCATCACCACCATCACCACCATCATCACCACCATAATCACCATCACCATCACCACCATCATCACCATCACCACCATCACCACCATCACCACCATCATCACCTTCATCATCACCATCACCATCATCACCACCACCACCATCATCCTCACTGAGGTCACTCTCCAGCAGGAAATGAGGGATGGGGAAAATAGACATGTTTCTACTTGCCTACAGGCCTGGCTCCCTTCTGACTTACTCTCAAGTTCCTGTAACCTGAATACATATTCATAGAAAAGTTTATTTGGATGGTGATTAAATGGGATATATGTGAAGGTGCAGAAGAAGACCAATTTTTCAACCCCTGAGATAGGAAAACTATAATAACAATAACAGTAGTGAGGTTGAAGGTGGCTCTGGTTTTAGCATTGGTGTGTATCTGCCCTGTGCTGGGCACGTTCCATGCCTCACATCATCAACACTCCAAACAGCCCATCTCACAGGTCATGTCCAACAAATGTTCATTGAGCATGTTGCGAACCAGGACTCTTCTCGGTGTTGGAACAGGAATGACTAAGACAGATGTAATGTAAGCCCTCACAGAGCTTACATTCTGGTAAGAGAGACACCAACAAGCAAACACATGATCAGGAAATTTGGGGGAAGGAAACAGGAAGGAAAAAATGGGAGAGTGGCTATAGGGGAAGCTACTTAGACATGGTGCCAGGGAGGACCCCTGAGTTGGTGACCTTGGAGCTGACCTGAAGGGCCAGGGCTCAAGATCTTGGGGAAGAGCATTAGGCAGAAAGAAAGAAGATGCAAAGGTCCAGGGGTGCAAATGAGTCTAGTGTGGCTGACATTAAGGGGCCAGTAGGATTGGAGGGGAGCCAATGAAGGAAGAGAGGTAGGCACCAATACCAAGGAGGTAGGCAAGGTCCAGGCCATGCTGGGGCCTGTGTATAGGCCAAGGAAGCCTTTAGACTCAAGTCTAAATATATGGGGAGTCATGGGCAGTTTTATAGGGAGACAAAATGCACTGAGGACACTAAGTGGGTTTAAGTGAGTTGCCAGCTCAGAGAAAGCCCTGGGAACAGCTTCCAGCCCTTCCGAACCATCACTGGGGAGTCCACATATTCAGCCTCATGCTGGACCCCATCCAAGGACCTGGAAGCCCCAGGAGGCCTGGCAGTGGCCTGGGGAGGGCACTGGGCAGAGGCCAGGAAGCAGGGTGTGCCATGAGCGCTCTGGTCCCTCCTGGGGCAGGCTGTGCTGGCCTGGGGAGGGACCGGTACCAGCAGGGGTTGGGTGAGGAGGGCAGCTGCCTGACAAAGCCCTTGTTGAACAGAAACCCCAGCAGCGGTGCAGGGCTGGGCCAGGAGCCAGACCGGCTTCCCAGCGTGCCCAGCTGTCCAGCGTGCCCAGCCTCCACTGAGAGCCGAGACTTTTCCCACCACATCCTGAACTCAGAGAAGCCTCTGGGGTATAGAACCATCTCCTCTATCCCCTGCCTCAGGGACAGGCAAGGTTCACACTACCTGGATAAGTGGCACCCTCTCCACCGAGCTGCTCAGGCAAGACTCTCCATGTCATCCCTGATTCTGATTTCCCTTGCCCCCCGCCCATTGCCTCCAGATTCAATTATAATAACCAACCACATCGGCTGTGTTCCAAGTGCTCCACATGCATTGGCTCATTTCATAACTGTAACAAGTCTATGACTTGACACCATGAGCATTCCTGTTTTGCAGATGAGAAAACCAAACCACACAGCAAAGAGGTCCAAGACCCACAACTCCAACCCAGACAGTCTGGTTCGACAGCCCGTGCTTTTTACCATTGTATTGTGCGGCCTCTTCAGGACCTGGATAATAGGTCATTTCCTTTGGGAAGCCTTCCCTGATACATCCCCAGTAGAAGGCAGGAGTGAGAAAAGTCAGACAGGCAGGAGTTCAAATCCCAGCTCTGCTACCTATGAGCTGTGTTACTTAGGATCAGTCAATTAACCTCTCTGGTCCTTGGGATTCTTAAAATGGAGACAAAGAGAGTATTGTTGCTCAACCATCCTTTTGCTCCCTTTGAAGTCTATACTATTGGACTTGTATGTGTTATTTGTTGAGGGAAAAATGAGTAAAATAAAAATATATGTCCTAAAAAGGAGTCATTGTGTCAAGAACCTGAATGTGCCACCCAGAGCACTTTCAGTGAAGGCTTTGTGGGTGACCTGATATAATGGCTTAGCACTCCAAACTCTGAGGGCCCACTTGTCCCAGCGCAGGGAGCCAGGGCCCGTGAACAGCAGCGGGCCTCCACTGTCAGCCCGAGGGGCTGTCTCAGACCTTGTCTTGCCCAAGGTCGCACTCACTCATGGGGCGGCTCAAAAGCAGGGATGCCGGGGTATGGCCTGGCCATCTCAGCCCAGGCCGGATGTCTCCGAAGGGCCAGCTCAGCTCCTTGCTCCCTGTGGGGTTGGTGGAGGTGTCGTGGGGTCTGCTCACGGTTGTGCTGCCCCACCCTGCCCTCCCCCTGTCCACAGCCGGGAACCTCGGGGGCACCACCTAACACCCTCTTCACTTGCCTGCATTGCAGAGTCTGCTCCTTGGAGGGGAACCCACAAGAGCCACAGGACGAGGGTTTAGAGAGAGTGCCCGGGGAGTTCTGCGTGCTCCCCATGTGCGAGGTGTTATGCCAGCTGTTACGTTCTCTAATTACTTTCAACAAGCCCCAAGAGTAGAAACATTGATCCAGTTCATAGATGAGAAAGCTGGTGCCCAGTGAGGTTTAGAAACTTGCCCCAAGTGCCCCAGCGAGGAGTGGTAGAGCTGGGATTTGAATCCGGACTCTCGGACTCTCAAGCCTGGGGCTCTTACTAGCATACACTCTGCGGATGTCTTATATCCTATCCACGTCGGAACCTGAAAATTAGAACTGAATTAAAGAAAGAAAGCAATCTGAGAGGGAATCTCAGGTTTCCTTCACCTTAATTCAGATTAGCCCTTAATCGACTGTGGTTTTAAATGCCTTGGCTTACAAGGAGAAGTGGAGCCCAGCATCGTGAACTGGGGCGTTCAAATCCTGTCTCTGACAATCTCCTGGCTTCACAAACATAGGCAAGCTATTCAGCCTCGAGTTATCTCCAGTTACCTCCGTTCCCTCATCTTTGAAATGCGGACGCAACCGCATCTACTTCATTGGTGTGGACAAGAAGAATCGAACCCCCATTTGCAAAGCACTTCACGTGATGCCTGCACTTGGGAAGTTCTTGAAAATGAGCCGTTAGAAGGCTGGACTCTGAGAGCTGACGACTGGAGTTGGAACCCCAGCTCCTGAGCAGAGTGCAATCGTACAACCTGCAGGGAATTGCTTAACTAACTTCTCCTTGCCTCAGTTTTCCTATCTGTAAAATGGGGACACAAATACTACCCAGCCCCTATGGTCAACGTGAGCATTTGAAGGGGTAACAGCGAGGCTGCCCCTGCTCTGAGCAGGGCCCTCTGACCCTGCACCTGCACTGCGCCGACAGCCACAGCCTCCTGAAATTCTGTGCTCTGCCCCCCTCGCTCTAGTACCAGCCCTGCCTCTGAGCTCGCAGAGCTGTCTAGAATAGTATTCATAATCACACTAACTAATATGAACAACTTCTAACATTTATATCATGATGGTTACCAGCATAGGCCGTGGCATTAAACTACAGGGATTCGAATCCCACGTGCATAGCTGTGTGACCTTAGGCAAATCGCTTTACTTCTCTGTGCCTCAGTTTCTTAGTCTGTAGAATGGGGATAACAATGGCATTCTTGCCAAGCCTTCCCAATAGGCTTAATGGGAAGTTTAAATGAGGTAATGCATGTAAAGCATGAGGAACAGTGCCTGGCCCCAGCGGGAGACCAAGGCGGGGTTATTCCTCTGTGCCCAGGGGACACTGCCAGCCATGAGAGTAGGAGTAGTTGGTAGTACTGTGCTCATCGTGGACTCCTGGAGCGTCTGGATCAGACCTTGCTCCTTTCCTCCACGGCACCAGGTGCTGAGGTTGGAGCCATGATGATCCCAGTGTGGCAGCTGGGGAATCTGGTGGCCGGCCGTGTGCTCTGACCTGGGCAGCCAGGACAGGGGGACCCCTCCCCAGGCTTGCAGCTCTTACCTCACAGCCTTTGGCCATGGCGAAGCCCCCTCCTAGGAGAAGAATGATGTTCCAAGGCACCGTGTCCTGAACCTTTTTCCACGTCAGCAAGGGTTCTGTCTCTTCGTTGGAAGCTGGGTGGAGAGAAGGCACTTAGCCTGAAGAGGGGACACGGGTACCCCCCAGGGGCAGAGGAGGACCCAAAACACACCCAGGACACTCATTCTGGGGAAGGGTCACCAGCCCCTGCAGCCCCATCTTTGTGGGGACACCTGAGGGGTGGGTCTCCCAGAAGCCACAGTCTGGCTCCAGCATCTGATGTCGGAGCTTCAGGGGAAAACCCCTCGAGCATCACGAGGGGCTTCTGCTCCATTCAGAATGAAAATAATTGTCATGGCTCCCAGAGCGTGAGAACCTCCTGGAACCGGGCACCCCACCTCCGCGCAGGACATCCTTTCAATGTCCCAAAACGCCTTCTGGGGCAGCTTTCATCCTCATTTATAATAGAAAAGGCTCTCTTTGTCACTGAATGTGTACAGAGAGGGAAAAAGTGGAAGGAAATTCAGGAAAAGAGAAACACGGAGTATCTTTGGTTCATGGGATTGTGGGAGGATTTTATTTCCTCAAAAGCAACAGTATCTGCAAGTAAGGGTTAGAATGGGATGCAGCAAATGTCCATAAAGGGGGAGGGGGTGGACACTCCAGGCTCTGCCAGCCTCTGTGGAACCAGGAGACCACATAGGGTGGGAGCAGCTACAGAAAGGACATACGTGAGCAGGCATGGCTCCCAGGGTACCCTACTGACCAAAGTGGGGTTGCATTTGGCCTGAGGGCTGGTTTTCTACCCCCGTGTTTGGGAGCATAGGCCTGGAGACAGACCCTGCTTGGGTGTTGGCTCACTGCATGCCCTTGAACGTGACCTTGCCTGTCTGAGCCCCCATATCCTCAGCCGACCTGTGGCGCAGAAACAGCCCCTGGAGGGTCCCCTGAACACTGATGAGGGGACGAGAGCTGGTGGTGGAGAAGGACACGGTCCTGTTCGGCTCAGAGCCAGATCCCCGCGTCACTACCTGGCACCCGGCCTGTACTCCAAAATGCTTGTCCGCTAATGTGATGTAAGATGTGTCGCCCGATGCCTGCAGCAGGGTGAACGCTCTTGAAATGGAGCCATCCCTGCAGGCGGCCATCAGGGAGGCCGAGAGGACAGGTCTGGCTCATGCCCAGTGGCGCTCTCCTCCCCAGGACAATTCCTGGTCACACAACCACTGACACTTTGTTTCTCCTTCTCAGCTTTTTCCAAATTTCGTTTTCTAAGATGAAAGCTGGAAGACGTCGGATGGCTCAGCTCTCCGCCTTTAGGCAAGACAGTATTATTTCATTAAAGAGGCAGGCAAGGTCTGAAAAAGTAAAAGGACTTGCCGTACATAGGAGAAGGCCCTGACCGTGGGTTTAACATCAGGCAGATTAAATGAGCAACGTGGTGAGCATTGATGACACCACCTGCTCCATGACAGGCACGGATTGTGCCCTCACTTGGGTTATCTTCTCGATGTTCCCATCCGACCACGCCCTTGCGGCTGTTTCCTAAAAGCACAGCGTCCCACTATGGGAATCTCATACTTCTAGCCCTGCTTTGGGCCAACGAGCTGTCTGAAGCAGTGGCTGGAAAGCACAGGCTCTGAAGTTGAACTAGATTCGAATCCAAGCTCTGCCCTTCGGCTGTGGGATGTGAGCTAGTGACTACTTCCCTGAGCCTCAGTGTCCTTATCTGTAAAAGGGAGCAATTGTAGTTCCTCAGAGACCCACTGGGGAGAGGAAGGGGGCCCCTGGGGGCAAAGGGATCAGCTTTGGGTGTGGGCCAGAGCAAGCCCTTGGTTATTCATCTCACAAATATATATTGAGGACCTACCAAGTGTCAAGCACTCCTCTAGGCACTGTGGATTCCGAAGTGGCCAAAACAGACACAATCCCTCCTCCTGGAGAACTTAACGTTTCCAATAAGGGAGGCAGGGGAGAAACCAATAAATATATAATGTCAGGAAATATAATGTGTTGGGAAGGAAAGAAAATAGGGTAGAAGGGTGGAGAGTGACAAGGCAGGGATGCTTTTCTGGGTAGTGTAGTCAGGGAAGGCTTCTCTGGGGAGGTGACATTGGATGGAGTCTGCGTACAGTGATAGGAGTGAGCCACAGGACATCGGGAGGAAGAGCTTGGTGGACAGAGAGGAAATGGAAGTTATCACTGTCCTCGTCCCCACCATCCCGCCACAGACACACTGCCCACCAAAGAGGAAGCATTGCCTCGATACTTGGTGAGTGACATAAAGGGACAGAAATGCAAGTGTGACTTCCACCCAGAGAAGAACGGAAGACAGAGAGTACAGTAAGAAAATCAAGGTTGGCCTGGATGCCTGGGTTTTACCCCTGTCTCTGTTTAGCTAGCTGTGTGACCTTGATCAAGTCACTTTCTCTCCGTGGAAACTGGCCACTCTCTCAGGCTCCGTGTAAGTCCTGCTGGCTGAGTGCGAGAACGCATCATTTCAGCCCTGACCTCGCGGGCCCATGGATGGCCGAAGGACAGGTGGTGCTCCCGGAGGCCACCCTCTCCCCATCCATCAGGCAACACCTGAAACTCCAGCCCAAAGAGCTCTCGGCTGAAGTGGCGAGCTGCACCCCACGAGCAGACCAGACCCAGCTCCCAGACGAGTTCTCGCGCGCCTGCTGCTGGCCCACACAGGGTTTCTCAATTCAGATTCGTGGCCACCACTTAAAATCAGTGAGATTGCATACAATTTTTTTTGTTTGTTTCTCTTGAAAAACCAGCAAATCTGGCAAAACTAGCCTTGCTCTCCTGCACGGTGACACTCGGTGGAAACTGAGTCACAGCTGCCCTTTTGTATACAGGCTTTTGGCTTGCCAGTTTTCCACAGACCCCACGACGCGAGGGGGTTGCCCTGATGCGAAGGCTCTTGCCAGTCACGAGCCCTCTCAGCTGCTGTTTTCCTCGAACAGACATTGTTCTGTTTCCACAAGGCAAAAGGAAAGCCGGGTGGGGAGGGTCGTGTGTCACAAAACACATTTTCCTGCGCCCAGTCTGCTGCACCCAACACTCTTCCTTCCCTGTGGGCATTTGAGTTTGCAACTTCTGTTCTACGAAACTACTCAAGCCAGGGATGAAGAATGTCTAAGGGACATGTTCATTCTCGAAGTGGGAAAGCAACCTAGGAACAGACAGCCTAGGAACTCACCAGGGTCACCCAGCAAGTCAGTAACACGGCTGGGATATCGGACATGGACAGCACAGGCCCTCCCCACAGCCCCGGTGGAGAGGAAGCCCCCGGCTTTCCAGGTGACAGAACCACGGACAGGACTCGATCAAGGGCAGCCGATCCCCAGGCTGGCCGGGCATCTACAAGGTGGCCTGGTGGGAGGGCTGCCCAAATACCACACCAGACCAAGCAGATTCTTCCTCTCAGCAGTACCATGGGAAGTAGAGAGACAGCAGGTGCACAGACATATAGCAAAAGATCAAGGGACAGAGGGCAAGGGAGGCTGTTGGGCTACAGGGGGGGCCGTGAGCTGGCCGGAAGTGATGGGGTAGCGGGCAGCCACTGTGGGAGGTGAGCCGGGAGAAGGCGGGCATTAAAACAGAGAGGACACGCTAAGGGAGCCCAAGTTCTAAAAAAAAGCAGCAACTATAAAGAGGCCAAAGCTTAGAAGTGGTAGAAAGTATGGAGAGGCTGGGACATGGTCCCCGGTGCACGTGATGAAGGCCAGCGGGAAGCCAGACAGAGGAGCAGAGACAGGTCCTGCCCGGGCTACGGAGTCTTTGCCCACAGCTCCTTGGACCTAGGGTTCACTCAATGGCCATAACCGTTCCTGGAGCCCTGTGATACCGTCTCCCTGCTGACCCTCGTGTTCTGCCCCATGCTCAGACCCCCTCCTCCACTGCGGAGCTAACCTGCCTGTGACTCAAGATGAGGATCCCATTTCTGACTCCTGGTGTGGAGCTCATCCCACTGTCCCAGCTGGAGCACAGGCTCTGTCCCCAGGAGTAGGGGGCCATGCCTTGTCCTGACAGACACCTGCTGGGAGCCCAGTGGGGGCACAAGCTGGCCATTGAAGGCCAGACTGCAGAGGTGTGGTTGGGAGGGCTCAGTGATCCTTTTAAACCTACCTGGGATGCCGCCCCTAGGCTGTTTGTGCCTCGGCCCCCACTGCTTCCTATCAGGTTCAACCTGGCTGGAGATTTGCACGCCTGACCCTTTAGGCACTGGAGTCAGAATTGCAACTCCTGTCGTGGACCCAGGGGCCACACGGTTTTTCTATAAAAGCATCAGCTGGTAAATATTTTGGGTTTTGTGAGCCAAGGGGCAAAACTGAGGCTAGCATGTAGGTACTGATGTGACTATATAAATAAATGTCCACAAATTTCTTATTGAAGAAATACACTTTATTTGTGGACACGGAAATCTGAGATTCATGGACTGTTCCTGTGTCATGAGATATTTCTCTTTTGATTCTTTTCAACCATTAAAAAATGTAAAAGCGGGGCGCCTGGGTGGCTCAGTGGGTTAAAGCCTCTGCCTTCGGCTCAGGTCATGATCTCAGGGTCCTGGGATCGAGTCCCGCATCGGGCTCTCTGCTCAGCGGGGAGCCTGCCTCCTCCTCCTGTCTCTCTCTGCCTGCCTCTCTGCCTACTTGTGATCTCTGTCTGTCAAATAAATAAATAAAATCTTTAAAAAAAAATGTAAAAGCTACCCTTTGCTCACGGGCGGTACCAAGAGACAGCCAGCTGGATTTGGCCGACTCTGGCTGCTAACACCAGCCCGGACTGTCACCTCCGGCAGCCCCAAGTGCCCAGACCAGGTAAGGCCTCAGACAGAGAAAAGGGAAGAAGCGGGACCACGTGGTTAGTGTGGTGGGGTTCGGGTCCCAGGCGTGGGCCCTGAGTCACAGCCTCACCGAGCCCACTGAGACCCCAGCCTTGACACCTTACCTTTAAAGTCAAACCACCACTTGAAAGAGGGCCTTTGGGATGGGAAGACGAACAAGATGATGACAATGGCCACTCCGGTAACAGCATCAGAAACAAACCTATAATGACAAGGCCCCAAAGCACATGACCCAGGGCGTCGCAGCTGGCCAGCCGCAGGTTTGGCAGATTTGCAAATGAGGATTTGTTGGGTGGGAATTAGGCGCTTGCTGGGAAGGGAGCATTGTTGGAGGTCACGGGATACTAGAATATTATCCTGCCTGCGCTCAGCCTGGATCCAACAGGCCGGATGCTGAAGCCCTCTCTGCCCACGGCTCCCTGAGGCTCTTTGAGGTCACTGGAGACAAAGGCTTAGCCTCCTCGGAAGACACACGGAACCACAGAGGGAGGAATTCTGAGTGCCACCAAATATGGGATCTGTGGAACTCCCGCGGATCGCCAGAACCAGGGCTGCTCTAAGAGTCTGTCTGCATTTGTTCAACTTCTGCTTGCCTTCCTCCTGGGATGGGCAGCTTACTACTCAGAGATGCAGCCCATTTGCACCAGCACAACGCAGACGGAGGCCGCCTCACAGCCCCTCAAAATCTAATTACCGCCTCTCAAGGATCCACTGTGTGCCTCGTGGACACATTAAGCTCACAGAAGTCTCAGTAACAGCCTTCTGGGGCAGGCAGCTTCCATCTCAGATGAGGATTCTGAGTCTCAATGAGCAGAAGCAACTTGCTCAAGGCCAGGCCACGGTCCATGCAGGAGACGGGCACTGAACCCAGATTTGTCTGGCTCCTAGCTCAATGAAGCATAGAGCCAGATGTCCACAAAAGCCCTTTCAGCCCACACACTGGGGAAGAAGAGCATTCAAAAGGCCAAGACACTGGAAAAGATGGTCAGTATCACCGTATCAGAGAAACAGAAACCCCAGGCTAACGGATTATCGTTTGTCTGCTAACAGGCAAGACTTGAAAGGGCAATGATAGTACTTAATGGGGACATTGGAAAACATACTGGCAGTGTGAAAAGAAACTTGTTTAACCCTCGGGAGGGCAGCTGGCCACATGTTTCCATCCTTTACACGTGAATGCCTCTTGATTCAGTTATTGTACTTCTAGGAAGGTATCCTCAGGAAAACCGGGCTCTTGTACACAGATTATATGTAATATAGGGATATCCCTGTAAAACAGGGATATTCCACATGGATCAGAAGGAAGAAATGGGAGCTTTTTAGTACAGACATGTGTAAATAACTTGTGTACAATAATATCTATATAATAGTATATTGAGAATGAAATACCCTGCATCTGCTTTTTTAAAGATAAAAGATAATATCAATCTTTACGCATTGACATAGAAGTACAACCAAGATATTTTGTAAATCAAAAGAAAAGTTTTTATTTGGAGTATCAGACACAATCCAAAAGGAATTGATTAAATAGATTAAGATGCTATCATTCTGCAGAATACTATGGAGCGTTTAAAAAGAATGAAGTAGGTCAGGAATAGTAAGTTGTCCGTGATTATTATCATACTGTCTAATTTTTGTAACATATGTATATATGTGTGTGTGTGTGTGTGTGTGTGTGTGTATCTATCAGATCTGTTAGACAACAAACTTCTAATTGTGACTTTTACTATTTCAATTCAGCATTATTTGAATTTTTTATGAGTATGCATAACTTTTCTAATTAAACAAAAAAGAAAAAGGCAGATTATAAATAGTGTCTACTGTCATCACATTTCTGTTAAAAAAAATCTTCTGTTTAGATAGGTTTCTTTTTAGCTAGTTTACGTGTATTTTTACAGTTAGCTTTATTGAAATATAATTAACATGCAATAAAATGCACCCACTTAAAGGATATGGGTTACATTTTGGCTAGTGTAGACAGGCCTGTAATCACCCATGGGACTGAGATGTAGGACAGTTCCCAGACAGGCATTTTTAAGTCAGGAAAGATGTGTCGTCAGAATTGGAAACTGAGTTTCTAGGTGATTTTCACTTTCTTTGTCTTGTTGGAATGTTTACAACACCCACTTTTCACTTGAAAAAAAAAAATAAGGTATCTTCATTTTGGAAAAATAAGACAATGGTAGTAAGAGCCACTCCTCTTGGCTCCATGAAATGACGTTGCTTCTTTCTCATAGTAACCTGCATGAGATCAGAACCTTACATCGTCCCTTTTACTGGGGGGAGACTGAGGTTCCAAGAGTCACTGTGCTCTGAGAGTACAGAACTGTATGTGTCTCCCATTATATTTCTACTGGATGGAGCTGATGGAAATCACCAGATCTCACTGAAGCCAGAGGACGTATTTCCTATCTAATCATATTCTGGCACACCAGAATCTGACATGGTCACCCACTTGCTCTTTCTTAAAAGGCTCCCCAATCTTGGTCTTTGCTCATTTGTTGCTCCCCATCTTCTGCCTACCTCACAGCCTGCTTCTTCCATTTCTCCCCTCTACCCAGCTCCCAGATGTATGGGGAGTCTTCCGCACTCTCCCTTGCAATATTTGAAAGACCTATTTGACTTGACAAGTCTAATGCAAGCCCAGAATCGAATTGTTGATAACCACCCACTGCCCAGCCTCCTAAAGAATGTTCTTCTCCAACCAACCTCCATCCATGCGGGTGCTCCGTCCCTCGTGCCCCCAAATCTACTGGGTAGCAGGTGCTATCATTTCTAACTTTCAAACAGACCTTGATGGCTGCCTGTCCAATGCTACCACTCTGACGCATGCCAGCAAGGCCTTTCCCCTAGACCAGGGCTCAGTGAATGCTCTTGACTTTGCAGGCCATATGGTCCTGCCTCAATTTTGATGTTGCAATAGGAAAGCAGCTGTAGATGATTCATAAATGAACAGGTGTGGCTGAGTTCCCATGAAACTTTATTTGCAGACATGGACTTTTGAATTTCATATAATTTTCATGTGTCACAAATATTATTTGTCTTTTGATTTTTAGCCATTTAAAAAGATCAAAGCCAATCAAAAACAAGTGCTGGGCCAGATCTGGCCCAGGAGTCTTAGGTTACCAGCCCTGTCCTAGATGACAGGGGGCCATCTAGATGGTGTTAGAGCTCCTACCTGTTTCCCCCAATCCATTCCCTAATAAGTAGAGCTAATATTTTATTGAGTTCTTCCCATGTGCTCTTCTAATCACTCGACATGAACTAACTGATCCTTGGACCAATCCAAAGACAATACCATTTAACAGATGAGAAAACAGAGGCACAGAGCCTCCCACACAGAAAAGAGCAAATGTTTTACGTGTCCAACAAGACTCTCCAGGATCTGGGTCTCTCCTGCCCTTTCGGCCATGTCTTCCTGACCCTCCTCCCTTCCTGCAGAGCCTCGGTCACACTGGGCTTCTTTTGGTTCTCCAAAGGTGCTAAATTGAGTTCCTGCCTTCTGCTCTCAGGAGACCTTGGAGCAGATCTCCAGGGCTTCTCTCTACTTTTCTCAGCTTTACTTCCTCCCAGAATCACCCGAAGTCTATGCCTCCGCCTGTTCTTCCATAAATATCCCTCTTGCTCTTTCTTTCTTTGCACTCATTACCAATCTGCAGGGTTTTGTTGTTGAACTAATTGCTTTTGTCTGTGTCCCCAGCATCTAGCACAATGTGGAGCACATAAGAGGCGTTCAGTAAATGTTGACCGATTGAACGATAAAACTAATAGTGAATGAATGAATGAACGGATGGATGGATGGATGGATGAACGAATGATGTGCTCAGGGGTGTACCATTTACAACTGCAAGAGCTGGCATGAACCTAGTTTTGCTTCATTCCAAAGGCAAAGCTCCTAACACATGAGAACCCAAAATGTTTTATCATCTGAACCTAAACTTTTTTGAGGGTAAAGGAAGGAGCTATTTATAGCCCCACGGGACCAAGGGTGTATACCCAGCCCAGCCCCTCCAGCTGCACGGCCTCTCCAGCTCCAGATGGCCCATCCCAAAATTTTCCCTATTGGGCTCCACCCCCCCACCCCCGGTTCCCCGAGTCTCACCCAGGGGTGAAGAAGCTGGCCCAGCCAGGGATGAACTTCGGATCCCGGGAGAAGAGGAGGATGGCGAACATGCAGAAAAGGGTGAACACGGCCTGTTCAGCAAACCTGTGGCACAGACAGGCAGGCCGTGCTGATGGTGGGCTCTGGGGGGGACCACAGCGTGAGAAGGCCTGGGGCAGTTGCCTCCTGGCTGTGACCCTGCCCGGGGCCTGCCTCTGAGAAGCTTCGAGAAGTAATCCACTCCCCAGAGTGAGGAGAAGGGGATCCTGGGGTGTAAGGGATTCCTGTCCAGGCGTTGCCACACTCCTCCAGGCTCCTTCTGGAGCATCGGTCACCACCTTCCCCCCAGGTTATTTATATCATGCCCACCTGGAATTTCCCAAGGTCTTAAGGAGAATCACCAGAGAGAAAGAAAAAGCAAAGCAGAGGCGCAGTCAGAAAAGCAGGAATAAAAGGAAGCAGCCAGACAGACACAGAGGTAGGCAAGACAGAGGAAGAGTTGTACATGCAGAAGGAGATGGTGCACAGAGGGGGAAGACAGACAGGGAGAGGGGCAGACACACAGAATCCCCAAATGTTGGAGTAAATATCTACCCAATGTGCCCATTCCACAGACTGGGGAGCAGAGCCCAGAGAGGGTTGGTGCTTTGCCCAGGTCTACATAGATAGGAGTTAGTGGCAGGGCCAGCTCTTGGGTGCAGACCTCCTGACTCCTAGTATCTTCACTAAATGGGAACTGTACACTGAAAAATTCCCGAGAGCTGCCCGAGGTAGTGCTGGGTATCCCGTGTGCCAAGGGGGAAAGAGTGCATTAGCTGGAAGGACAGGAGTTTCCCCCCAACACACCAACTCTACCCTGAGGGGCTTCCTGGTCCTCAGGGTGTTTCCCCCAGCACCAGGCCAAGAGGCTGACTGTGTAAATCACCCCCCTACCCTCCATCTCCAGGCTTCTAGGCCATCGTCCTGAAATTCCCCCTGACATCAGCCTCCAGGGGTCCAAGGGTCAGGCCAGGAGATAGGTCTCCTGAAAGTCTATGCTGGGCTCTCTCTCCACCCCAGGAACCCCCATACCACGCACTTGATGGGCCCCAGGTTCTGGAATTCCTCCCGAATCACAGCGCGAGCCCTGTCTTCTACATCAGTCTTGATCTCAGATTTCTTCTTCCTCCATCCCCTGAAACAGACAGGAGGGAGGTGAGGAGGGGCCGCCGCAAATATGACTAACTCCTTAACTCCTCCCCCGGACCCCCACCCCCTGGCCAAGCCTCATTATCTCTGTTCTGGAGACTTCTACAGTCTGATGCTGAGTGGCTCCCTGTGTCTTCCCTTTCGAAAATCTGTTCTTCCCACCAATAGCCTTGGTGGTCTTTTAAAAACGTGAGTCTGATCCTAAGACTCCCAGGCTTATAATTCTTTAGAGGGTCAAACAGGTACCTGAATAAACTAATAGAACAAAATAGGAGGTCCAGAAATAGACTGGAGACTTAGTCTATGATCAAGTCGGTGTCTCAGACTAGTGTGGAAAAGATGAGCTATTCAGTCGGTCATGTCGAACATAGAGATCAATGGGATGGAGTTGGGAATCCAGAAATAAATCCAGACTTCCCTGTTCAGTTGGGTTTTGGCAAGGGTACCGAGATCATTCAAAGCAGGAAGGAACAGTCTTTTAACCTATGATGCTAGGACAACTGGATAGCTACATGCAAAAGAATGAATGGGAACCCCTACCTCAAACCATATAAATTTTTTTTTAAACTCAAAATGGATCAGACCTAAATATAAGGGCTTGATGTATAAAACTCTTAGAAGAAAACACAAGGGTGAATTTTTCTGACCTTGGATTAGGCAACTATTTCTTAGAATCAAAATCTCAAGCAACTAAAGATAGATAAATCAAACTTTGTCACATTTTAAAACTTTTGTGTGTCCATAAATAGCACTGGACAGCTATGTAGCCATCGGGAACCAAAAAAATGAAGCTGGATCCAAACCTCACATCATATCCTAAGGACAAACTCCAAACAGGTAAAAGATCTCAGTGGAAAAACAAAACAAAACAAAAAACCCTAGATAAAAATATACGATTTTTTTTTTTTACAACTCCTGTAATGGGAAAATCTTTTTAACTGTACTTGAAAATTCAAAAGCCCCGTGAGAAGGATTGAGACTAAGCACTAATCTTATATATATATAAAGTACTAGAAATCAATAAGACCAAGATCAATACTCCATTTGAAAAATGTACAAAGGATATAAACACAGTTTAACAAGCTACAAGAAAAAAACACCAGTGGCTTTTATGTAGATAGGGAAGATTTCATGTTGCCCCTCAGTATGAAAAGTTGCTCCAAATGACTTTTAGTAAAATGAATGCAAATTATTTTTCTCTTCTCAGATTGGCAAAAAATCCACTGCTGCAGGGAAGCAGACACTCAGATCCATTATAAAGGGGAGAACAAATTCGTACAAGTCCTAGGGAGGATTATCAAATATCTATTAAAAGGAAAAGGGGTTTATTCTCTGACCCCAATGGAAATTTACCTTACAAAAATATGTGCAAATATATGAATTCATATCTGTCTGGGAAACTAGTCACCAGAAAATATACTCTACCTGCCTGTATTTATTTCAGGGAACTCTCAAGATTACACAGGAAACCTGTTTTGGGGGAAGTACTGGGTGAATGGGTAAGTGAAAGCACGGTTGGGAAGAAGAATTCTCACTGTATACCTCTGCATCATTTTGATTTTTAAACCAAGTATATGTGTTGCTTATCCAAATTAAAATAATGACAACAACAAAAGAATATATTTAAAAAAAAAATCCTCACAATGACTCTTGTGTATAAAGATCAAATTCCACTAAGACCCTCAATGATCTAGCCCAGGGTTTTTCAACCTTGGAACTATTAACCTATTGGGGCAGGATCTTTCTCTGTTGTGGGCCGGGATCATTCCTTGCTGCAGGAGGCTGAATGTTTAGAAGCATCCCTGACATTCACTCTTTAGATGCCAGTAGTAATTCCTCAGTTGTGACAACCACAATGTCTACAGATACTGCTGAACATCCCCTGGGACAAAATCATTCCCAGGTGAAAACTCCTGCCTCATTCCCTGGCCTCATCTCCCACAAATCTCCCTTATCCCCTGAACTTGGTCACTTGAACCTTTCAGAAGGTTTCAGAAGGCAGAACAACCCTTGCTACCTCCAGCCTCAGGACCTTTGCACTTACTGTTCTATCTGCTTAGAATGCTCTTCATCATGCCCATTTCCTCTGCTCTCTTTACTGACTTAAGTCTATTCACTCTTCAGATCCTAGTTCAAAAGTCCCTTCCCCAAGGAAGCTCTCCTGACCTCCCATTTAGGTGGGAGCCCTCCAGGGCACATCATCAAATCTCACTGTCTTTTCCTTCACAGCACTTGCAAATGGCATTGGCCTGAAACATCTCTGTTACCCAGAAACACATCTGTCACTGAACTTCCCTCCACCTGCATTTCCTCCATCCTCTCATGGCTGAGTTCTGCAGAAGCTTATTAGATTGAAACAGGTAGACTGGAAAGACAGGCTCTATTTCCGGCTCAGTCCTGGGCAGTTGACACACCGTGACTTGTTCAGCATTTACTTTAGCTGTAGCTACTTTTTAGCCCCAACCTGCAAGGGAGGGCATGAAGCCCCTTGGAGGGAGGTTACCAAATTTCTCAAGATCACGTGGAAGCGTGATTTGAATTCTGGCCCGTCTGAGTCCAAGGTCAGGACTTGCTTCTCTGGGTGAATGTAGGCTTTGAACCCCGAGTTTCTGCTCTGAGGAATTCTGGGAAGCATGTGAGTCAAGGAACACCATGATCAGAGCCTTTCTAGTCTCAACATCTCTTTGGTCCAGAGTAACTTTGACTGGTTTCATTTTACAGATGAGCAAATGAAGGTCCAGAGAGAGGTGAGGGGATGACAGCCCTGGGCTGTCGCTCCTATGTTAGGACGTCCCCAACTCCAGGTGTTTGTAACCTACCTTCACAAACACCCCCATATCCACATACCTGGCTCATATTTGCTTCATACTTTCCTCCAAATAGATGCATCATTCTAATTTAAGAAATGTATGTAAACAGAAAACTTTATATCGCCCCATAAATGGAAAACAAGAATCACTTGCCATGAAAAAAACTAATCGTAAAAATAAAAACACAAAAGCAAAGTAATTATCACACTCTGATTAGACACCATTGTTGGCTCACATCTCTGGAACTGACGCTTGCTCTGTGTTTAAAAAGCTGATTTGGGAAAGTTGGAGGGGTAGTACGGCTCTTCTACTACCCAACTGAGACTTGCCGCATTCTATGAGAGTTGATAAAGGATTATTTTTCTCACTCTCTTCATCAATGTTATTTAATAGCCTGTCCTCATTGCCACCCCCAGTAACCTCCTGTACCAGCACCCCATCCAATGGGAGACAGTGTTTCCCTCTCCTCTGGTAGGAATGTTTATCTTACTCAAAGGACAGGGCTGTCAGTAATTACCGGTGATGGGTGATATTAACAGAGGGCCTGGGCGTCTCAGGGAGGTCCCACCACCCATAACGCTCACATCCCTGGGAGGTGAGGTCTACTCTAGTCACCGCATGAGAAGGTAACATGAAATTATCAGGGCAATCCTTGGGTTCTGTAGGAGGAACCTCCGTTTGAGAAGAAAACGCTCTACCCAACGAGAAGGAAGCCAAATTCCCGTCGGGCTCAAAGCTCAAAGTAAGCATGAGGGGTACCTCAGGGTCATTCCCCCGTACAGGAAGGAGATCCACAGCCAGCCCACCAACAGGAACAGCACCATGAGAGGGAAGGCGAAAATGAACCAGGAGCCGAAATTCACCACATCGCACTGTGGGAAGAAACTGGAGAAGGGGTGGGGGGCGGAGATGAGAGCCAGCCAAGGTCAGCCATGCCCATGTATACTGTATACATACAGGGAGCTATTTCTTAGCTAGAACACCGAGGTTTATATACAGAAACTAGTGTGTACTTAATATTAGCAGTGGGATTGAAGGCATTTCAAGTTTTTTCCCTACATTTTTCTGAATGTTCTGTAATGTTCCTACATAATCAGAGTAAAGTAATAAAATGTATTTGGGGAGTGAAGGCCAAGGGGGGCACTCAGGACAGCCATTCCCCCACCTCCCCACGCTCCTGGCTAGAGAATCAGAACCTGTATTACTTGGCATTCATTTTAAATCCCCCTCTTTCTAGACCAGAAGGTCCAAGCTTGGGCAATTAAATATTGCGTGTGATTTGCATATGATTTACATGTAATTGACTCAAAATCCTTTGCATTTGATATTTTTACTTATACCTCCAGCATTTTTTCCTTAATATCTTTTCAAGTTGGAACAAAGTCCTGCTCGCATCAGGGTGGGCAGGCAGCCTGAAAACCCTCTAACAGCACCCGCCCCTCTCTCTGCCCCATTCCTCCCTATCCCCCAACTTGGCATCTGCCCGGAAAGCCCCAGAGCCCACATCTTTTCTGCTCAGCCATGCTCCAGCTTCACCCTCCTAGCCAACTGGCCCTTTGCTGGCACTACCTTCAAACTGAGGACACTAAGGGGCCAAACCCAGGTTGTCCCCACGTCTCAGGCAAGACCATCTTGGGTTCTGGTTTTTCAGTCCTTCAGCAAAAAACACAACAAAGATGAAAGGACAACAAAGGTGTGCAGTGGGCTTAAGTCAGTTGGGGAAATACTGATGCCTGGCCCCCATCCGCGTCTCCTGAATCAGGATCTCTGCCCCAGAGACCCCGGGCAGATTTTTCTCACCCTCCCGGCTGACTCTAACATGCTCCCATGACTGAGGATCACTGGCTTTTCGCATCAACTTGGAAAATCAAAAGATTTTAGAACCTGAGAATACAGTGGGGGGGGTTAAGATTTCAAAATCGGCTCAGGAGATAAGACTCAGATGTACTTAGAATTTCTCATGAAAATCACTTTGATTAAAAGTGATAGCGAACCAGCTCTCGGGATGACCAGCTTTCCTCCATCATCCTAGGAAGTCCTCCATTCTTTGGTTGACTAACAGGTAAAGAAGTTGGCCAGCACCTGGGGCCATATTGCATAGTAAATACTTCTGTTGCATTTGTTTGCCCAGTGCTTACATACGCATTCGTGTGGACTAAGTGCACATATGGTACATTTTCACTGCAAAGGAATCTTAGAATCCCCACCTCTCAGAATCCTGGCAACTGAAAATCTTAGAACAGAATCTTGAAATACTGGAATTGTTTATATCTTCAAACTAAGAGGTTTGGGATAATGGAATTGACAAGTCATGCTGTCCGAGAATCTTTCCCTTTTATTCTTCTGCCCTGATGGACGGACTCCCAGACACTGTTTGAACAGCATCAACACTGGGGAGACTTGAGCTCCTGGCAGAGCCCACCCCACAGCTGGCCTAGGCACCTGGTTGCAAAGCTTCTCCGAGACCTCACAGCCACAGACCAAAGCTGCTATCTGGGGTTCGTTTTTAGAGATGTCACATCATGGCATTCTTTGCTCCCAGCTCTCTACTGACTCCCCATCTCACCGCACTGGCAGGAAAAGCTGGGGTCCTGACACCTTACCTTATCTGCTCCCACACTTCCTTTGCCTTCGGTGCCCCAGCCTCTCTGGTCTTTGTGCTGCTTGCCGTTGAACAGGCTATCCCCTATCCGGAATGCTTTTCCCTCCTGTGCTTGCACAGCTTCTAGGTCTCAGATGCCACCCTATTAGAGAGGTCCCCACATCCTTGACCAGCCTATATAAAATAGCACCCACTCCTGTCCTTTCCACATCACGCTGTTTTGTTTCATTTGGTAACTTATCACACCAACATATTATATAACCCTTTTCCTTTATGGCTTTTCTCCCCCACCAAAATGGAACTTCCTCAGGGCAGGGACTTTGCTGGGTTTGTACCCTGCTGGGGCCCCAGAGCCTGGCCAAGGGAAGGTATCCAGTAAGGGTTTCCCCAGCGTGGAAGGGAGAGGGGGAGGGGTGGGAGGAGGAGGAAGCCCAGGGCTGGGTGGAGCACACCTGCTTTTACCTTTTGAGCTGGCCTAGCAGGATGAGGTTGGGGGCCGTGCCCGTGAGGGTGGCAGTGCCTCCAATGCTGGCCGAGTAGGGGATGGAGATGAGGAAGCCCTTCCAGATGTTTCTGCGATATTCCTCCTCCTTCTCGCAGTCTGCTAGAAGGTCCAATGGAGCCTCGGCCTCAGGGCAGTCTTTGCTTTAAATAAACCCAGAGAGAAGCCGTTCAGAACACATTCAGAATTCCTGGCCTCATGGGGAAACACACCAGGTGGGCTGGGAGAACTAAGGGGTCTTCCTGGAAGGCAGCTCAGCGCCAGCATCGAAAGCCTCTAAAGATGTGCAAACTTTCAGTTCAGGGGCTCTGGGCAGGTGCCTCGGGCATGGGTGTGAGTTTGCATCCGACTAACTGTGGTTTATATTGAAAACAACCTGAATCCCCATCAAAAAGGGTTTGGCTGGATAAAAATGATCCTCTTTTTAGAGGGAACACCAACACGGCTATTAAAAAACGATGATCTAGGGGCACCTGGGTGGCTCAGTGGGTTAAAGCCTCTGCCTTCGGCTCAGGTCATGATCCCAGGGTCTTGGGATTGAGCCCCGCATCAGGCTCTCTGCTCGGCGGGGAGCCTGCCTCCCCCCCTCTCTCTGCCTGCCTCTCTGCCTGCTTGTGCTCTCTATCAAATAAATAAATAAAATCTTTAAAAAAAAAAAATGATGATCTAGACAGATGTTCATTAAGATGAGAGAGGCCCATTAGGTAAAGGGAAAAAGGGTCAGTAACTGTGCTACTTAATTTTTTTATTTAAAAAATATTCACATATTTTATGAACAGATGAGTATGAAGAAAAACTTAGAATGGTACACATAAAGTTGTTTTGGTGCCTTTCTTGGGGGTGGAAATATGGATTTTTTTTACTTCTTTTTTTTTCTTTGTATTTTCTGGGTCTTTCTGGGGCAGTTTAAAGAGTATGGGGGAAGAATGAAATTAAGAATTAAGTCTATAATTAAAAGCTAATGACATTGCTGTAAATTTATTGAGGTGAAAAAATGTTCCCTACATTCCATTAAGAGAGACAGCAGGTTACATAAGAGCATATACAGCATTATCAAAGTTTTTATTTTACAAATGCATTTATGTACACAGAGAGGTATCCAGAAATTGTTTAGAATAGTATTCACTCAACTGTTTTGGGAGTTAGATGCTGGGTACATTTTTCTTTTTGTTTAAGAGTATTCTTTTAAATTGTGCAATTATAACATTTTTGTAAGTGAATGAAATTAAGAATTGGCCCTGTATAACAAATTAATTTTTTTTTTTTAGGGAACCAAAGATACTTCAAATATCTTCTGGCCTTAATTGCTCCATGAGGGGCCCCTTATCTGGAAGGTAACTGGGATATGATTTGGGGTCTAAAAGGAAGACAAGGACTGAAAGTCACTGCCTGACTTCTCTGGCAGGAAATGTGGGCTCCCCAGACCCGAGGCCCCAACCAGACTGAGCATCACAATGAGGATGAGAGAGCAGAAGGGGCGTGAGGGCTCATCTAGTGCAAGCCCCTCTTTGTTTAGTTGGGGAAACTGAGGCCCAGAGAGGAGACTTTCATTCCAATGGACATAGAATCTCCACCCAATGGCTGGGGTTTGCATTCAGTGGACATGGAGTTCTAGAGAATGAGGACTGGGTCTTTTCCACTAGATTCAGCACAAGCTCTATGTGGCCAGATGGCCCAAATAGAGTCCTGTGTTGTGCAGTAGTAAGTGGCTGAGCCAATCCCAGACATCATATCTCAAAACTGGACTAAAAGCACCCAGATAGAGTGCCAGGAAGGAGCAAAGACCGTGGAATAAGACAATCAGACATAAGATCATGTCCCTCCTCTGCTAAAAGCCTTCACCGGATCCCATGTCATTCAAAGTCAAGGCTACTTCATTGGCCTCTGAGGTCCCTCATGCTCTGTCCCTCCGCCACCACCTCGTACCGCACAAGCAATTTCTCTGACCCCAATTCCTCCCATCCACTCACTCAACTCCAACCATACTGGCTTCCTGGCTGCTCTGGACTCTCAGGACCTTTGCACCTGCTGGCTCCTCTGCAGAAAACACCCTTCCCAAAGATCCTCCCGGACCCTTCACCTCCTACAGGTGTTTGCTTGAGGGGGACCTTCTTAGAGAGGCTTTCCCTGACCACTCATTTTAAAACTGTCTTCTCACACCCCACAGGCCCCTTCCTTAGCCTTCTTTCCTGCTCTGTTCTCCTGCATAGCTCTCACCAACCATCAGACATATGGTGAATTTTACTCTGTTTGTTTTCTTGTCACTGAGACGTAAACTCCACACGGGCTGGATTTTTGTGGGTTGCCGCACCCGTGGCAGTGCCTGGCTCATCGCGAGCTATGTGTAAGTATTTGCTGAATGAATAAAACAGAACTGATGCTCCAGCAATGCCTTGAGCAGGTGACTTGACTTGCTGCTGTTTCATCACCCAAGGGAACAATGCCCTGAAAAACAAGCACTCCCACCTGGGCAGGTAGGGCCCGGCATGCCCCCTGCTGCTCAACATTATCTCATCACACCTCAAAATCACCCTCTGGGGTGGGTTCCGATATCGTGTCCAGTTGGTGGGGGAAACTAACAGAGGCTCAGAGAGACCAAGTGACTTGTCCAAATCACACAGCCGGTAAGCGGCAGAGCCAGGTTCAAAGTCAGGTCTGCAGGGCTCCAAACCCCAAGATCTTAACCAGCTACCAAATACAACGGACACCGGCCACTAAACGTGGAGTCAGTGTGAAGATGCTTCCTAAGCCACACAAGTGTGAAGAGCTATGATGGTCCCCTTAGGATGCTGTTGTCTTTAGAGGCTCTGGATGCCTGTCTGCGTGCCTTCTCCTCCTTGACTGTCATGCAGTTTGAGCACTCCTGTTCCTCTGGACCCTCCTTTCAGGTCCCTTACCAGAGGGACTTCGTGTGCTCCCCTGCCCTTGCTATCCACATGTGCGTTTTTTAAGGAGGCTGGGTACGTCCATGCCCAAGCCAAAGGGATGGGTGGTAGACACCTGGGCATTAGGTCATTTGGAGAAAAATCTGGGGGTGGGGGAGGATTGCTTGCAGCACTGGATTCTTGTTCGTCATCTCCTTGGGTCAAGCACTGACTCCTCCATCAATGATACCAGGAACTCACTCTTCTGGGCTGGCCAGAAATTGGATCTCCGTGGGCACAGGGTGCAGGCCGTTCTTGTGCACAGCAGCTAGGAGGAAAGAGCATAATGTCTTTAGTGTAACGTAACGGGATGGAGGGGAGTGTTCCTATCTTCGGGTTTAGATAAATCCTTCATCTCGCTGCACCTCAGCTCCTTCATTCAGAAAATGGAAGTAACAATTCTCCTAGGGTTGTCAGGAGGATCAAGGGGTTAACCCATTTGCTACCAAAGGAATGCTGGCGTTCCCCCCCTCCCCCTCCCCCCCACCACCCCCGCCAACCAAAACTCATATGTGGAAACTTAATCCCCAGTGTGATGGTATTAGGAGGTGGGGAAATTTGGGAGGTGATTGGATCAGAAGTGCAGAGCCCTCATGAATGGGATTTGTGCCCTTATATAAAAAGATGCCTCACACATCAGGGAAATACAAATGAAAACCACAACGAGATACCACCTCACGCCAGTCAGGATGGCTAAAATTAACAAGTCAGGAAATGACAGATGCTGGTGAGGATGTGGAGGAAGGGGAACCCTCCTACACTGTTGGTGGGAATGCAAGCTGATGCAGCCACTCTGGAAAACAGCATGGAGGTTCCTCAGAAAGTTGACAGTAGAGCTACCCTACAATCCAGCAATCAAACTACTGGGTATTTACCCTAAAGATACAAACATAGTGATCCAAAGGGGCACGTGCACCCGAATGTTTATAGCAGCAACGTCCACAATAGCCCAACTATGGAAAGAACCTAGATGTCCATCAACAGATGAATGGATAAAGAAGATGTGGTGTATATATATACAATGGAATACTATGCAGTCATCAAAAGAAATGAAATCTTGCCATTTGCGATGACGTGGATGGAATTAGAGGGTATTATGCTGAGCGAAATAAGTCAATCGGAGAAAGACAATTATCATACGATCTCTCTGATATGAGGAAGTTGAGAGGCAATGTGGGGGGCTTGGGGGGTAGGAAAAGAATAAATGAAACAAGATGGGATCGGGAGGGATACAAACCATAAGAAACTCTTAATCTCACAAAACAAACTGAGGGTTGCCGGGGGTAGAGGGGTGGGGAGAGGGTGGTGGGGTTATGGACATTGGGGAAGGTATGTGCTATGGTGAGTGCTATGAAGTGTGTAAACCTGGTGATTCACAGACCTGTACCCCTGGGGCTAATAATACATTATATGTTAATTTTTAAAAATGTGTATTACCAAAAAAAAAAAAAAAAGCCTCACAAAGCTTCCTTACCCTGCCTACCATGGGTGGACACAGCAAGAAGGCCATCTATGATCCAAGAAACAGTTCCTCACCAGACAGCAAATTTGCTGGCACCTTGACCTTGGACTTCCCAGACTCTAGAACTATAAAATACAAATGCCCAATCTATGCCATGTTTGTTACAGCAGACTGAATGCATTAAGGCACCATTCAAAGCAGGGACTGGCAAATTTCTTCTGTAAGAGACCAGATAGTAAATTAGTCTTTGGGGCTTAGGGTCTCCGTCCTACTCGACTCTGCCATGAAAACAGCCAGAGCCAACAGAGAAATGAATACGTGTGGCTAAGCCTTTATTCCTGGACACTGAAATCTGAATTTCATATAATTTTCACATGTCACAACATATCCTTCTTTTGATTTATTCAACCATTTTAAAATATAAAAACTATGCTTAGCTCACAGGCGGCACAAAAAGCACGCAGCCAGCTAGATTCGGTGGGCCAACGTTTGCCAGAATCGCCACTGAAAGAATTTAACAGGTCTCTGAACACTGGCAAGGATTTCGTCAATATGGGTTCCTCTCGAGAAAGAAGAAAGCGACCCCGTGACGTCTGGAACCGGTTGGACTCCGATAGGCCGTGTTGTTCTCTTTCTGGACCTAAATGATTTTACACGTCACCAACATCAGACAGAGCTGCTCTGCGAGAGACTGAAAAATTGAGACATAGCAAGGACCCATCATAATCTTGTCTTAGCCCAAAGCCACTTGCCACCCACACATTGCCAAACGTCCTCCTCTCCTGCCAGTTGAGTGGCTGCTACCTCTTTACTCGTAGAATTAATTGCCCCTGATTTCTGACATCATTCGACCTAGAGCAAGCTTCCTCAGTCCCCCACAAATGCCTCAGCCCAAAGCCCAAAGCCCGTGAGAGGTCCTTTCTAACAACTGACTGAGGTCATCGTGGCCACCAGGGGCGAGTGTCCTCTCTCTGGGCAAATAATAATAAACCCCACCTGTGTAACCCCAGGTGTGTGTTTGGGAGGAAGGGTCCGGACCCCAGCCACAGCTCTTTCCCTGTCTCAGCAGGTGGCTTGGGGAGGAAGTCCTGTCCCCTCTCCACTCTGGGCTGCTCCTTCCCTGTTGGTACCTAGAGGGAGCGGGAGCCATGGTTGCCCTCTGGTCCGCTGACCACCTGCAGAGGTCGGAGGGTTAAATGCAGACCAGCTCCCCCTGGTGATAAGACCCTACACGTTGGTGTAGCTTAAGTTTCCTTCAAGCCTGAGTTGAGGAGGGATTTATGACCTGTCTCCCTGATGGACTCCCACCTCTTTGGGGGTTGTATCAGTCATTCCCGTAGCCTTGAACAACCTCCACTTTGGGGGGGGGGGGGTCTTGTTCACTCAGAACACCGTCCGGCACATGGTAGGTGTTCAGTCAATATGTGGAATTAATGAATCAATGAATGAATGGATCAGTTATGCCACTGTTCTAAAACTCAGCTTCCTTGTACATAAAATGGGGGGAGGGGGCACCTGCACGGCTCAGTTTCCTCCTCCGTAAAATGGGCACGATGACAAGGCCACCCCTGCAGGGCTGTAGTAGGAGGATTTAACGAGAACACATATGCGGCACTGGAGAAGCCACCACCCATGGCACCTCAGTCCCTCGGGCAGTGCAGGGAGCCGGGCTGGCTGAAGAGACCGAAGGGAAACATCAGGAAGGCTCTCCAAGACGGAGGGCCCTCCCCTACCTCCCGCTGGGTCTTGTCCAGCGAGCCCTACCCTGACCCAGGCTCCATCCTGCTCTGGCGTGGTGCTTACAAGCCCAGATTCTAGATTCAGACAGAGCTCAGCAACTAACCACGTTGCTTTGGGCAAATCCTTTTGCCTCCCAGGGCCTCAGTGTCCTCATCTATACAATGGGGATCACCTACTTCCTAGCACCGTTATGAAGATTAAATGAACTGACGGGTGTGAAAAATAGAGCACTGCACCTGGCATACGGTGGGTCTTCGGGACTTAGAGCTCACATTGTCATCATTGTTGCTGTGGCTGTCCCTTATGGACTCAGAGCCCCCAGGAGCCTCCCCACTAACAGTCCCCACTATCCCCACACCTGTCTTCACGTCCTCCCATCAGGACGGAGCACAGAGACTGCATGCAAGGACACATCTCTCTTTTGCACTGGAATTAGCCTTGTTTTTAGGTCTTAGGGCTGATCATTGATCAATCCCTGCTCTCTGATCCCACCGCTTGCAAAAGTAGCCAAGTCCCTTTCCCTTCCTGGGTCTCAGATTTTTCATCTTTAAACTTTTTTTTTTGGGGGGGGGGGCCTCTAGACTCTTTGAAAAAGACTCTTAGGTACAACACAGAATCCCAGAGGTTAAGAGTTCAGCTCTGAAGTCAGCCAGCCTAGATTCAACATACCAGAGCCGCTGTTTTGAAACTGTGACCTTGGAGTGACCTTGGAGGCTACTTTATCCTCTTTTTTTTTTTTTCCTTTTCTAATTTCTTCCTCAGTTTCCAATCTTCTGAGTGAGGTCAATGCTGGCTCCTCCTGCAGATGTAAGGCCCTGTGACGAGGCCCGCGTGAAGGACGTGCTCAGCAAACATCTGTGATTACCACACAGAAGCCCAGTGGATAAAACGGGGCAAGTGGGGAAGCTGGGGTAGACGTGGGAGAAGGCGCAGATTCTTCGTGGCTTGTCACCGCTCCAGGGGGACAGTGACAGGGTTCTCTGGAAGCCCCAAGACTCTGGGGAAACAGTCTGAAAACGACCGAAGCCAACTCTGGCTTGTGGGCTTAATCTGGCCCACGGCCACACGACCGAGAATGGTTTTTACAGTTTTAAATGGCCGGAGAAGGTCAGTAGAGGCAGAATACTTCATGGTATAAAAATTACATGCAATTTTAATTCCAGAACCCATGAACTACATCTCATAGGCGCCCAGCCGTGCCCACTTACTTACATCTCCTTGTGCATGCTTTCTCTCTGCAACGGCACAGTTTGAGCAGAGGTGATGGTGTGGCCAACAAAGTCTAAAATATTTCCCATCTGGTCACTTACAGAAACCGTTTTCTGACCCCGGCTTTAGAACATCTCCCCCCCCCCACCAAAAAAAGAACATCTCTTCCCTCCCATGTGGAAGACTTTGGCCTTGCGTAGGTCCTGGCTCTGCTGCTTTACCAACGATGTAAATGATTCTGGTCCTATCACTTTCCCTCGTTGAACCTCACCTGTAAAGTACTTACCATCATTTCTAGCTTCCAGGGCTGACATGTAAATAAAATCAGCAAGAGCCCTGACTGCAAGGTAGGCAAATACACGTAACCCCAATATGCGAGATTAACTTAGACGGTATGTGGATTGATATTTAGATTTTTTAATATATATGCTAATTTTAACACATATTCAAAAAAAACAGAACTAGCATTCAAAGCCCATGGTTTCATAAAGCATGTTTGTTGTGTTATTTGGGGTAAATGATCCAGAGCTCCTGGGGCACATCTGCCATCTATCCCTCAACATGTGGCTTCCCAGGTAGCATCTCTGGCTCCCACATCCTGTTCACGTTCCAGCCAGCAGGAGTAGAGTGCAGGAAGGGCAGGACCTGGAAGCGGCTCACACCACTCCTACTCATATACCACTGACCACACCTCGTCACAGGACCACATCTAATTGCAAGGGAAGCAGGGAAATTCAGCTTTTCCTCTCCAAAGCCATGTGCCCATGTGGGGGTTCTGTTACTAAAAGGACAAAGAAAGACTCAATATTGGGGATAAACTAGAGATTTCTGCCCACATAGGAACCAACTGAAAGCTTCCTTTTTAAATACATCTATGTAAATAGGGGTGCCTGGGTGGCTGAGTCAGTTAAGTGTCCTACTCTTGGTTTTGGCTCCGGTGGTGATCCTCAGGGTCATGAGATCAAGTCCCGCTTGGGCTCTGTGTTGAACGTAGAGCCTGCTTGAGATTCTGCCTCCCTGTCTCTCTGTCCCTCCTCCTGTTCGCCTGTGTGCACGCTCGCTCTTTCTCAAACATACATACGTAAATGCATTTATGTAAATAAAAAGAAAGATGTTTTAAAGTAGACAGACTGTGGCAGCCTCTGCTCTGCCACCATAAGGGAAAGTTGGGGAATCACAGAGATGCCAGTGAAAAGTCCTGATATCTTCTTGTCTCTGAATCAATCCTGGAAATGCCTTTCTCTGCCTTCTTGATGTCTGAGGAAAACCCTTATTTTTCAAACCACCTGCAGACAGACCCTCCTTCTTTGTCTACATTCCCATGGACGCAGCCAGTCCCATAAGAGAGAGTGCTGCAAAGTTGGGCCATTCATCTGCTGTGTGACTTGGGGAAGTCACTTCCCCTCTCTGAGCCCTTGCTTAGTCATCCAAGAATGCCAGTGGTATTTTGTTTGGTTTAGAACAGTTTCTGAGGTTCGGGAGAAGCAAATCCTTCAGCTGATCGCACATTGTTGCTGTACTTGTACAAGGCCCCTCTTTTGTTCTCTTTCTTTCTTTTTTTAGTCCCTTTGGTTCCCATTCCTACTCCCATCCTTCGCAGAGCAACCACACTGATGGATTTAATCTGTAGATTTTGGTTTGCTTACGTTCTTGCAAAATGTTCACCTGCATGAATTTTGAGTTCACATTATGGTATTGTCTTCTAGATCTCACTTTGGATTTTTTCCCCCAATCATGACTATGTTTTGTGAGACCCATTTCTAGAACTATGTTCCTCTAATTCTTTACTCCTAAAGCAGCACGGTGCTCAACAGTGCACACTTGACCTTCCCCTTGACTGGTGGTGGCTCTCACGCAGCTACTTACCACACCACAGAGAATGCACGTGAACACTTTCACACCCATCTCCTTGTGGACCTCTGTCGGAATGCCTTTGGCATTTGTATCCAGGAGCCAAACTGCCAAGTTACAGTGGATGTGCCCTTTTTTTTAAGGGCATGCACACATTTAATTTGATTAAATATTTGCAGATTTCCCTTAAGAAAGGCTGACCCAGTACATCGCTCTCTGGCAGAACACAAGGGTTCCCGTGGCCCCACGCCTGCTGACATATGGCATTGTCCAGTTTTCTTATCTTCGCCAAGCTCACCGAAGTAAATCTCATTTCAATTTGCCTTTCTCTGGTATTAGTGACATTGAACATCTCTTCAAATGCTCTAAAACCCAGTGAAAGTGTAATATCTACTTCATAAGGCTGTTCTGAGAGGTCAAAGAGATAATGCAGGCAAAGTGTTGAATTCATCACTCAGTACATAGTCAACACTCAATAAATGCAAATCTTTTAAAAACCAAGGTATCAAGATTTGACTTAGCTAATTCTCAGTTATTATTATTTAAGCACTTGGCACATGGGAGATGCTGATGTGTATTCCCTTCACTTCCTCTGAATCCTTTGGACGTCCTGCTCCCACTTCTCCACATTGGTGGGGCTGCCCCAGTCCCTTTGCACAGCCTCACCTGCGTTCTCGTCACTCTGCCAGTTGAGGTCCTTCTCAACCTCATTCTGGCTGAAGAGGCTTTTCAGGATGGCGCTGGCAATGGGCAGCATCATGGCGGTGGAAGCCGTGTTGCTCAGCCACATGGACAAGAAGGAGGTGGTCACCATCATCCCCAGAATGAGCCTGGGAACAGAGGGAGTTAGAGGTACATCCAGAACGGGGGCCCAGAAGGTCCTCTTGTCCCACTTTGCCACCCCTGGGGAATCCAGCCCACTGGTTTCACAGACGGAAAGTTAAGACCCAGAGAGGATAAGCCAGTGACCGAGCGGAGACCAGATTCACTCACCAGTCTTATTCTTATGTGTGGAAACAGATTCCACACATTTAAGTGAACTGGCCACAGGTACCCAAGGTAAAATAGTCCAAAGATATCCCAACCCTGAAATTTTCTCTCCCTTGCCCCCCACCACAAGTCCTTGATGGCAACAAATGGCAAAGAAAAAAAAAAAGATTTAAAGAACAGTGAAACCCTATTTTAAAGGCCACTTAATCCTCTAAGAATGAAAGTTCAAATTGTCAGGGAGCCCGAGGCCCTGCAGGAATGGCCCCAGCCTCCCTATCTCTCCAGGGCCATCTTGCCACCCACTCCCCACCCGCCTGGGCTATTAAATAGCAAACTAGAATGATAATGACCAGGATTTCTCACACTTTACAGGTCCAAGCTATTACAGCTTCATTTTACAGGCAAAGAGAGAGAAGTTAAGTCATTTCCTTGAGCAGGAAAGGTGGGGTTTGGTCCCAGCAGTCTGAGTCACCATGCGAAGAGGCCCTCTCCAGAACTACAGGACACTAGTCCCTGGGGGCTAAGCCTGGGATAAGAATTTTACCTGGCTCTCCAGGTGATTCTTATGTACTTTTGAGAGCTGCCCAAGAGGCTGGCACTGTGTCTGGCACACAGAAGGGGCTCACAACATATCCAAGGAAAGAATGAGTAAATGGAAGGCGGGACATGATGAGCTTGTGGGCCTGGGGGACAGGACCAGGAAGAGTGAGTTTGGGCTCCAAGAGACGCTTCCCCTCTGCCTCCTCACCTTTGGGCTGGACTCATGACCTGGCCTTACCTGGCTGGCTGGACCCCAACGAGCATGAGGACCTTGAGGGCGATCCTTCGGTGCAGGTTCCACTCCTCAATGGCACTGGCCATGATCAGCCCGCTGAGGAAGAGGAAGTTGGTGTCCAGGAAGTACTGGGGGCAGACCTTGTTGGAGGGCAGGATGCCCAAGAAGGGAAAGAGGACGATGGGCAGCAGGGCCGTCACCGAGAGGGGCAGGGCCTCTGTGCACCAGTACACCGCCATGAGCAGGATGACAAATAGGCAGCGGCCTTCCTGCGGGGGAAGAGGGAGGAGATGCAGCTCAGAAGGGTCAGTGGAGCTCTGGGTGACAGTGGGAGAAGAGATCTTGGGGCAGTGCTCTTCAAGGCATGTTCCACAAGGAAGCTGGGGAAAGGGTGAGTGCCCAAAGCTTTGACCTTGAGGAGATGACATTCACCTGTCTGACCCGCATTTTGCTCGACTCTGCAATGGCGAAGCTACACTGTCCATTTTATGGGACTGTTTGAGGACTACATGAAATGTGCCCTTGGTTTACAAGTAGACCCTGCGATGAGCATGAGGCGGAAAATAGTTTACTTGATAGAGGATTGCAGAAAGTTCTGGAAGGGCAACTGAGAAGCAAAACAGAAGGAAGCCAATACAGACAGTGTATTCATGAGATTATCCTTGTGGGCAGTTGGGGCTCAATCCTGATGGGGGACTCTAGAATTGATCTCCTGGGAAACAAGGAAGCTGGCTTTTTACCTGCCAACTCTTGGCCATTACTGGTTGAAGGCTGTTCCTGGGAGCATTAACCCCCCGGCCCCGAACTTCTGGCCTGCCCTGAGTACAGTGAGCCAACATCCTGGTGCTGAGCATCTGAGGTTCAGCAGGAGGCTACCGGCAGGCGTAGGATGGTGAGTGCCAATGGAGACATGGGGATACCACCAGCAGCGGCTGCCACATCCACACGCAGCATTTAACACAATGCTCAACACAGAGCGCACACTGTGTAGACAGGAATGATTAAAAGCGGTATGTATGGGGCTAATAAATACCGGGAACTGTGTACTCCTCACAAAATCCCAGAGGAGTGAGTGTCCCCATTTTATGGAGTAGTCAGCTGAGATGCAAGGAGGTCACTAGCAAGACAATGACTGTGCAGAGCAAGTCAATCTGCCTCCAGAGCCATCACTCTTCATCGAACCCCCACCCCCAGCTGTCACCAGCGGAATACCAGAACCTATGATACATTGACAATGCAATGTAAAGATCCAGAACAGCTCAGTGGTTGCCAGGACTCGAGCAGGAGGTGTGTGTGTTGGGGAAGAGGAGCTGCAAAGGAGTTCAAGGGAACGTTTTGGGGTAATGGAAATGTTCTAGAAACAAGAGTGCAGCGATGATGATGCCTTCATTTCTGATTCATCAGTGTTTCATTGCATCCATCATCAATAACGTCTTATTATTATTCATATGGTCACTGTTAGAATAAAATACTTACTGTCCTGACCTTGTTTTCTTATGTTCTCTCAAGGCCATGACCTTGCATGTTCCAGGAGACACATACTGTTCCTTGAATTTGACTTTAGTAGGTTTGGTTGACTTTACTCAGTGTGCACAGGACATTGAACTGAATTCCATCCTAACAAGAACCGTCCTAATACAACACAACCTCAGCTACACAGTCAAGCATCAGCTACACGCAGACACCAGGAAGAGTTAATCCATTAACAGAGGGGTAAGGGCAGGATCCCGCGGACGATGACTTTGGCAACAATCTAAGCAGAGATTACCAGTGACTAGGGTCCGAGGGAGTGGTGGAGGTAGTGAGAGGTGGTCTAATTCGGGGTCTATTTCCAAGGGAAAGCCTGACAGCTTTGCCAAGGATCTGTTGGGATGTGTAAGGCAGAGAGAGCAACCAGGAGGGATTCCAAGTATTGGCCTCAGGAGGGGGAAGAATGAGGTTGCCATTTACTGAGCCGGGGCGACTGTGGGATATACCCACACCGATCTGCGTAGCTCAAAAACACATCCTGTTTTCTCAACAACCTGGCTGGGAGTTGAAACCAGGAAAATGAGTGAGACGTAGCCACTGCCCTTTAGCCAGGGAATCTGACCATGCCAATAACAGAACAGTCCTCTGCGGCTAGTTCTTCCCAAACTCAAGTGACCCTCGCAGAATCTGCCTACCAAGTCTCCCGCAAGCAGAGTATGTTGGTGAATGTTTAACAACTGGAAAGCTCTGTGTGTGTGTATGTGTAGAAATTCTTTTTTTTTTTAAGATTTTATTTATTTGTTAGAGGGAGAGCACAAGCAGGGGGAGGGGTAGAGGGAGAAGCAGGCTCCCTGCTGAGCAGGGAGCTCGATGTGGAACTTGATCCCAGGACCCCCGGGGATCGTGACCTGCGTCAAAGGCAAAGATAAGCTTAACCTCTTAACTGACTGAGCCACCCAAGTGCCCCTGTGTGTAGAAATTCTTGATTACTATTTTGTTTAGCTAAGAAATCACTCATGTCCATTGACAAATGAATTTAGTTTTACTATGAATGTTGGTTTATATTTTTATTTACAGTAATGATTAAGACAAGAGGGAAACAAGGAAAGTAAGTCAGAAATTCACTTGTTCACCAATGATGTGAGCGCCTTCTTTACTGAATCAAATGATAGTTTTCAAATACTGGAAAAATACGCCCTCATTTTGGGGGGGCTATTCACAATGTAACTGCTGTAGACACAACACATTTCATGTTTAATCTGCACTGTTAACATTTTTTATCACTTTCTTAAATTTAAACAAGAAAGGGGCTCCTGGATGGCTCAGTCGGTTAAGTGTCCAACTCTTGATTTTGACTCAGATCATGATCTCAGGGTTGCAAGATGGAGCCCCACATTGGGATTGCACTGGACATGGAGGCTGCTTAAGATTGTCTTTCTCCCTCTGCCCCTTCCTCAACCCTTTATCTCAAAAAAAAAAAAAAATCTAGACAAGCAACCAAACAATAAGCTAAGCCCTGATTTGCGGTGTTTGCCAACTTCTAGGTGTAAATACTTCCACGTGGTTGATTTCAAGCTATCAATTGGCATCATGAACACAGAGTTGGCACGAGATGGGCAGTACACACTCCTGCACAGCATTTCCTCCATACATACTGATGTAAATAGAGCGGATACAGATAATCTCAAGATTCTAGATAATCATAAAATAATAAGCAACTGGTGAGCTTTGAGTATCTATTACCTTTGTTTTAATATATTGAATCACATGTTTGTATAATTTCATTTTAAATATCTCTGTTTACAACTGGCTAGCAAAATTTATGAAAACTTGACAATCAGATCTCGAGAGCTAGGATACACACTCCAGTACCCTGTTGCAAGCATCCAGACAGAACATCCATGCAAACCATTCCCCCACCCCCCAAAGAATCTGGGTCACATTCTGTTGTAAACCTGACATTCTTCAACCCGTGCTTGTGTATCATGTTCCATAATGCAACTTTCTTTTAAAAATATACAATTATTTTCTGCCAAATCTTGCTTCTGGTTCAGGAAGATATGCCACATCTATCTTGTTTTCTATATACTACCTACCAGACCAAGTTATCCTGGTTTAGAAGATAGAAGTCTGTCTTAGCTTAGGCTGCTATCACTGAAAACCATGGGCTTAGTGGTTGAAACAACAGACATTTACTTCCCATAATCCCAGAATCTGGGAAATTGAAGATCAAGGTGCCAACAGATTTGGGTTCTGGTGACAGCTCTCCTCCCAGCTTACAAATACCGTCTTCTCACTATGTCCTCCTCACCTGGTCCTTACTCAGTGTATACATGGGGAAAGCTCGTTTTCTCCAAAGGCTATACTCCCATCATGGGGTCCCACCCTCATAAACTGATCTAATCTTACAGTTTCAAAAGGACAGTAAAGGGGTTGTACGAACAACTTGATACCAATAAATTTGATGACTTAGAGGAAACAGAAAAACTCCTCGGAAAACATAACTTATTCAACTATCAGAAAAAGAAAGAAAAGCTGAATATTTCAGTGTCTATTAAAGAAACAGAATCAGGGCGCCTGGGTGGCTCAGTTGGTTAAGCAACTGCCTTCAGCTCAGGTCATCATCCTGGAGTCCTGGGATCAAGTCCCACATCGGGCTCCCAGCTCCATGAGCAGTCTGCTTCTCCCTCTGACCTTCTCCCCTTTCATGCTCTCTCTCACTGTCTCTCTCTCAAATAAATAAATAAAATCTTAAAAAAAAAAAAAGAAATAGAATCAATCATCAAAAGCCATCCTGCAAAAAAAAGAACCTCTAAGGCCTGCTAACTTCAATGGTAATTCTACCAAACATTTAAGGAATAAATAATACATATTCTACACAAACTCTTCCAGGGAATGGAGAAAGAGGGAATACTTCCCAATTCATTCATGAGGTCAGGGTAACCCTGTGACTGGCTTATCCTGAAGAAGGCATCAAAAGGAATAATAATGGTTGAGCATTGCTGGGACATGCAAAGTCATCTGGAAAACCAGTTTCCTTGTCTCTCCTGCCTCGCATCCCTATGCAAAAGAAATACAGGCACAAGGACAACCAAAACCACCAGTTTCTCGTGTATTAACTCATCCAGTGACAGGTACTATCACTATCACTACTTCATCTAAGTTATAGGGGAAGGATGTCCCCCATTAAATACATGTTAGAGCAACAGCAGGAGAGAAAAATAAACATGACCTTTCAAAAACTAGCTTTATGAGCTATAATTTACATACAATCAATTGCATCCATTGATAAGTACACAGTTTGAGGTTTGACAAATGTACACACCCATGTCACATCCCAATCAAGAAAGCGAATGTCACCCCAGAGAGTTCCCTTTTTGCCCCTTCCAGGTCAAATCTCAGGCCCCTTCTAAAACATTGCTGTGATTTCCATCACTAGAGATCGATTTTGCCTGTCCTTGGACTTAAATGGAATCATACAGGATGTACTTTTGTACTTTTTTGTTCGGGACAACGCCTGCGAGATTCATGCACGTGGTTGTGTATATCTACAGTTCATTCTTTGTTTGTGCTGAGTAGTATTCCCTCCTGTGACTGTACCACCGTTTGTCTGTGCCTCCTCCTGCTGATGGACATTTGGATTGTTTCCAGTTTGGAGCAATTATGACTAAAGCTGCTGTGAACATCCAAATGCCTCTGCTTTGGGGGTGACACCTGTAAGTCCTTTTGTGCCTTATATGACACATTATATAATGGGGGTGGGGGAAGGATGTTACTGATAAATTCTGGCTGTAAGGGG